TCCCATGACAAAACCGCTGACTAAGCATAACCTGATAAGATTTTGTGGAACAATTTTCTTATGAAATTTGTTTTTGTGTGTATTTAAATTAAGAGTTTTGTTTATTTGAAAATAATATGTTATAAGTCATATTATGATGGATATTAGGTAAATGTAAAACTGTATAGTGTAGAATGTTGTATGAGTGACCAGGGCCCTGGGTAAAAGTATTGAGTGTATGATCATACATATGTCTTTGTATTGTTTTGTAACATGTTGGACTTTCTTGTTATGGTAAAATTTTGAATAATGGGATAAGATTTTCCCAAAGAAAATTTTCTTAAAAAATTCTGAATTGAATGAAATTGTGATATTTATTTATTCTTGTTTTGAATTTTGTAAAGATACTGGCATTCGGTTTTTATTTCAGGTCGGAGATGATGATGTGGGGGGGGGGGGGAAATATAGCTTATTTTAAACCTTTTACTGATCGCACTCCAAAAACTAGTGGAATAATAGGAATTTCTTACACGACGCCGGTGTTGTGCATGGGATTCCAAAACCATCAAATTAAACTAAAGTTCTGGTATCAGTTTCACTGGACACGGAGACTTGGTACTTTTTGCAAGACATTTTTTTTATTAAGAACTTTCATCTACTTTTATGAATATTATTAACGGTTTTGAGACAAAATGATTTTAAGCTGAAAAAAAATTTTTTCCAGTAATTTCTTTTAATTAAAATTTTTTGAAGACAAACTTAACAAGTAAAATGTCTTTCTCCTCCTCCAATTTTTAATATTTTCCCCAATTTTTTATTGTATTTATTAGTGTGTTTTTAATAACTTTAAGGATTGATTGCAATTAAAATCAGTTTCGAGAAAAATAAAAACACATTTTTAGATAAAAACTTGAAACTAATATGATCTCAAAACATTTCACTAAAGAATTTTCTTTCAGTATTTTGCAAACCCATCCTTGTTTTTAGGAGAATAAGGGGAATAAGCAGTAAAAATATAATAATTTAGCCATATGTATAAGTTTTAGAATGAAAAACACAGTTTAAAGAATGTAAATGATCTAAATGTCAGCAAATCATTTCAAATTCTTGAATTTTATTACTGAATTTCAAATATATATATAGAAGCAAAAATTATTCTATTCAATAATGCTATAGTGGTTAATATGAACATAAATTACAAGCTTTTATTAAAATTTTTGTAAAACACCTTCAAAACAATTTTAATACATGAATTAACTACAATACATTTTCTAAAAACATTTATAATTAACATTAATAATGTTAGCCATTATATTCATTTTTTCAAAAAGCAAAGTTTAAAATTTTGACAGACATAAAACATTTTATTTAAAACTGTTCAGTAGCATATGTGATTTCTTCCCTTCTTTTAACCATTTGGGCTTGTACATAAATTGTATTTTAAATTAATTTTAGTGTATTTTAATTAATTAAAGAGTTAAACTCTGATAGCATTCTATGGAAATAGTGAACAACGTCAAAAAAGATGTAAACAAACATTATAAATCCGCCAATCAGACTCATTTTTGTGACATCATTGCTCGCAGTGGCTTTTTGGGTTAAGGGATGGAAGACAATGTGCATCTGAACCAGACCTGAAGGCAAAACTGCCTCATATTCCCTTTTCTCCCTAATACGAACAGTGGCTGTGCAAAAGAGTGCATATAAACGGGGCTTACTAGGCCTATTGGAGATTTGGAAGTACAGAAAGAAAACCTTAATTTGATACTCCATGGGATGTACAAAATAGATATTTTTACAAAAAAGAGATAGGAAGAATCTTCACAAAGAACCAGCTTCATCTATAACACTTCAGAAAGGGGGAGGGAAAGAAGCTGTACAATGGAAAGCTTCCAATGTCCATAGGTTCCTCAAATGCTGAGTTTAAAGCATCTTATGATGAATTGGGACAGATTATGATTGCCAATGATAATGATTATCACAACAAAGAAGATGTATTTCCAAAATTAACAGAAGAAAACGGAGAAGAGTAATTTAAGTCACCTAAAAAAATGAAAATTTATTTCTATCCTGCTTTGTATACATATTTGCTTTTTTGTTTAAAATAATGTTGAAAGTTTACTTGACTTTTCCGTATGATTTTATAACAATATTTTCTTATCACTGGAGTTACAGTAAAAATTACTTTTTCTCAAACTTCATGCCAATTGATATAAATGGCTTTTTGCCTTGGGTCTTCATATGTCTGAAAAATACAACCACGAATGAAGACACATTATGCCATTCAGATTGCTTTTTTAATAAAGTAAATGATGAACGTAAAGAGCTGCTGGACAGAAGTTTTTTTTTATTTAAATATTTTGTTAGATATCTTCACAAATTAGACATTAGTATATACAGTCAAAAGTCATTCGGACACCCTTAATCCGGAATGATCTATAATCCAGACATCAAACCTAAAAACTTTCTGCGCATGCCCGTGTTGAACACAGCGCATAGGCGTTAGCGTGCGCGTAAGACTTTATGACGCACATATGCGTGTGCGCAAACACAGAATACGTTTCGCATGTGCGTTAATTTATCAACGACGGCATAAGCTAAATATCTATTTATCGATTTCAGTAATATTGATGATTGCGTTGTGCCTTAATCTCGAATTGCCGGCTATCATTTTGCAGACTGTAAGGCAATTTATAAAAGTAAACTTGAACTTTCGATTATTCAAATAGAATTCCGATGTGGGCTCCCAAAGAATCTACAAACGAAAGTATGTTTCGATGTCCATCAACAAAGTGGAATTGCTCAAAAAATGGATAAGCCTGACGAAGGTGACAGAGAGGTTATGAAACAAAAAATTCGTTGACAAGTTAGTAGGATTCTCGCACAGCATTAGGGACTTGAACAGGGACTTGTAACTGAACAAGAAATGTCGTTTAAGAAGGAAAGAGAAATATTAGCACATAAAACGAAGCATCTTAAACAACTTACACTAAAAGAATGTTTAATAAAAATATAAAAAAGAAATTAAGCTTTTTTTTGTAAATTTGATCCCTTTTAGATATAATTGTTCTTATTCATAAATTACGGTTTCAATTTTAATTTTAGATTTTCTGCGTGCCATCTTACGAGATTTAAACTGATGATCTATAATCCGAAGCCTAAGTCCCCTAGTCGGATTCGACTTGGACTGTATACACTTGGACAAACTTAAAAAAAAAAAAAAAAAAAAAAAAAAAAATCTGTGAAAAGTTCAAACATCCACATTTTCTTAACTGACACTGCTGCTGAATGGGTTTCAGTGTTTTGACAGAATGCCACTGAGAACTGCACTGCCCATGGTCAGGCATCAACAATTAGCTTATTCTGTTATAGTTCTCTGATGTGGTTTCCTTTAATAGCACGAAACGGCAAAATACAGCCACTTGGAAATGTTTCTAGATTGACTGCTGTGTAGCATTTTTGCCTTTAATTGTCTTACTATTGTTATAAAAGACAGCTTTTATTGAACCTTACAGTTTCTGCATACAATAACTTCTCCAAAATTATTTTCTCCTAGATCATTAGTCTGTGGAAATAAAACATATCTCTTCTACAAAGTTTAATTCTTAATCCTAACAAATGGTAATTAGAAAAACTGAATAAAAATAAGAATGAAATATGAATACAAAATGATGAAAACTACTACTACTGAACTACAAAATTTCCAAAATGTTCAATAAAATGTTTAATAACACAGGAATTGCAAACATTGTTTCATTTCTTTTAAAGTAGATTCAATTCTAACCCACCTTTTATCTAGAATAAATATTTCTTCTGAGAGTTATTTACAACTAAATTTAGCATAAATTTTTACACAGACAATAGACCTAATCTAAAACAATTGCTGAGTGTAAAAAGCATGTTCATTGTTTCAAAATTAAACTTCCTTTCATATACAGTAGGAAATCTATTTCAAATGAAAAATCAAACAACTCAATCCATTCCAGCAGAAAAAAGCCTGAGCTATAAAAGATCCCCTCTAAATTTTCTAACTGATGCAATTCATTTAGAAAGATGTATTTTCAAACAATTGCTATATCCCTACATCCATTTGAATGGAAAATCACAAAGCATGATTTGCTGCTCCGTGTAATGATTTTCCACACTTTTTTAAAATTTAGTCTAACATTCTTTTTCTGCTGTTAAATTGAAAGCGTGAGGCTCATATGCAGTTGATCTGCTATGACATCTAATACAGTGTCCAACCCATTGCATAAGAAGTGATAGTAGTTTTTATGGCTTGGAATACATTTGAAAGGCTGATGCAAAGGAAAAGCTATCTTTTAGACCTGTAGTTAAATATCTCTTTTAACAAAGTTATCCAGTTAGTGGTTTTACTTTGGTTGTACAATTAACCTTTCATTTTTGCATGACATCTACCATATCTGATTCCAGGATACCCAGAAGATATACAACTGTGCATAAAGATTGTTTACTCAAGTAGCATCCCACTACTATATCACTTTAATATGTTTGATGCAGTGAGGCCTAGCAGGTTCACATGGAGTTTAGAGTTTTGCCAGGCACTTGTGTTTATATCCTAATTAATCTAATTAATATACATTGCACACTTATATTTGAATTTGCATATTAGCACTGTTTCAATCCTTTTGGTAATATATTATACCAATGATATATATTATATAATGTTTGTATTATTTATTCATCAACACTTAATAAATTTAAAATTTAGAAAAATTATTATTGATTTTATATTTTATCTACATTTATGGACTACAACTGACGGATTGATTAATTGCACAGAAAATCACTTGAGAGTTATCTACCCAGAATGAATACCTTCATAAAAGAATTTCTGAAGAAAACTGGTTATTACATATAAGTTAAAATATAAAATTCATGCAGTGAAATTATCAAACCTCAGCACTAGCACTGACACACAATTTTAGCCATTTGGCAATGTTAGGTTCTTTCAAATTCTCATACACAGAACAAAATATTTAAAATAAAAATACACTTACTCTGTAATACTCTTTCCCAAGACCTAAAGCTCTTGACATTCCAAAATCACTAATTTTTACAAAGCTTTCATTAACCAAAAGCACATTTCTTGCAGCTAAATCCCTGTGAACAAACTGTTTGCTTTCTAAATACTCCATTGCTGAAGCTACTTGAAGCATCAGTAAAAGAATTTCTGAGACATTTATCTCTCTGCAATAATAAAATATGCTTATGATTTATATTTTAAATGAGAAAAAATATACTGAGAAATAACCAATTTTCAAGCATTTGCAACATCACAGTGTCACTGAAATACATTTTAAGAGTAGGTGTATAACAGACAGGGTTCGTACACATTTCTGCACACGGAAATTAAGTACTTTTAAGGACTTTTAAGGACCATTGATGAAAAAAATGAAGGACCTATGAGCAAATGCGAACTGAATAAATTCAATTAAAAATTTTATATCTATGCCTGAACGTGAGTGGGATACATTATTATTAAAGGTTGCTTAATTATAACATAACTATTAATATTTTGGGAATAAAATTAATTTTATGAAATTTATCAAGTAGCATTAAATATTTTACACTCATAAAACTGGACATATCTGAAAAAGATAAGTGACATTTTAGTTACATTTTACTAACAGTAGCTTTTTCTTTTTAATGTCTCATTTTGCACATACTTGCAGTCTAGAGATTTAGTAAATAGTTAAAGTAGATTTTATGTCAAGCAGCATAGGTTAACAATGAGCATTAAATCATAATCAGCATGATTCATAACAAGACTGGCTGTAACCACTCTGCTCGCCTATAGAGAGAACTCAGACAGATCGAACCTGAAAGGCCTGATGTAGGCACAGTTAGCAAGTTTGAAAAATTAGCTGACCTCCGTCTGACGCTGTTAGTGTCGTAGCTTCGTGTAAAGTTCAGGGGTTGTAACTCAGTTAATTACTTTAAGGTTCTAATAAGCACAAAAGCATTAGCGGTGATAAGTTGTTTTGCTTAAGTCTCACTAGATGCAAAGAATAACTTTCACATGAATTTTATATTTTGTGTTTTACCTTGTGACCACGGTAAAGGTTTAACATGTTGGCCCGGCGCCGAATTGCTGTAGTTTCGTTCAGCCGGCGGCAATATGCGATCAAGCGGTGCAATATTGCAGACTTAAATTATTCATAATTAATACAAAAAGGAAGGAGAGGCACATAAGTCCGAAAGTATTGTCGAATGTTATGATGACATCAAAACTATTTGGATTCAAGATAACAAAAATGTTACCAAACTAGTTGTTTTGTATTGCAATATGTGTAAAGCTAAGCCGTATTATTGTTTAGAATGTTTCAATAATTTCATTTCAATCAATTTCATTGAGACTATACTTATTTGTTAACTTTAATACTATCGTCCCACTGTGGACCGATGCCAGCCAAACGAAAATACCAGTGCCGGTCCCTAGGGACAGACGGCAGGCTCAGCGTGTTAACGAAAGGCAATGACTTGCTTTAATATAGAGAGATAATTATTAAGGGAATGCATTTAGTTATAATTAAATTAGGTATTAGATAACCTTACTCATTATGGATTTACATGGCCATTACTAAATTTTTTAATAATAGTTGTTAAAAACCCTATTAATATCACAATCTTATAAAATTTCACAGTTTAAATACATGCAATTTATGACATTGTTTTTAAACAATATTAGGATAATTACACATTAAAAGCTACAAAACATATAACTAACAAAAAAATATGCGTCTTTCTAATTTGAAGGCCTGCCCAGATTTTGCTAATTTATATCCAATTTCCTTCTCCTTCAGCATGTTTTCTAACAATTAGAAATTTGGGTACTATTTGGTTTCGAGGGCGTAAAAAATCGCCAAACTATTGTTGAAGCGTGCTGCCAAAAGTAATTGCGGCAACACTACGGCAAGAAAGGAGTGTAATAGTAATAATTATAAATATTGATGTTTTAATTAGATGAAAGGTAATTTCATATAATATTTCGCTACCGAGTTATCGCTAAAGCATAATGTCATATCATTGGTTGTTCAAAACATAATTTTCTATAAAATGATTTTCTTGAAAACATTTTGGTAGGAAGGAGGTAAATAGTAGTAGTAAATGTAAGTAGATTAGTAAATAAATTAACCCTTTCATCAAGTGCAGAATGCCCGCTTATTTCTTTGCCGCTTTTACAAGGGTAAAAATTGGAATTTTGTCAATTCTATTCTTTATAGTGACAATAGGTGATTTTAATAGATAAAGTCAAAGGTGTGCGCAGTGCATTTTTGTGCAATTCTGGACTTTTTAAAGTGAAAATAAGTCGATGGCCCTGGATACCGAGTACGTGCAATTCTTAAAAAGTTCAGCATGAGTGATTCTGCACTTTAACCCTACCCCCCTCCCAATTCCCAAATTGTTAAATCCATAGGATATAAAAAAGGAATTAAAAAAACAGTCTTCAATGTCGGTTAAGAAATATAGAACTATTAAACTTCGCAACTGAAGCAGCGCGTACGCTAGATTTGTGCGCTGTGAAATGGGTTGGTTGCAGATTTGGTACTTTGTAAACTGGCTTATAGCTATTACTTGCTATTTTCAGATTAAAAAATTGTATAATATGTGGCCAAATGGAACTTTTAATTGACAGCGAAAAATAAAAATGCTTATTTTAATGTTATTTCTTAAATATAATTCCAATATATTACCATTATTTAATGAAGTTTAAACAATGTTGAAATGTTCTAAAAAAATCCTCAAAAAATTCCAGATCTTGGAATTCAAAATTTTATAGATACCGATCTTAAAATGCCAAAAATGTTGATAATCCAAATTAGAACCGTTTAATAACAGAATTCACATCCCAAAAGCGGGAAGTTGTTTTTGAGAGCTCTTCTTAAAATGAAATAATTTTGAAATGCTTATGCTTTACTTCTTGCTCAGAAACTCGAGTTCCCACCATTATTTATATTACAAATATCAACAATTATAACTCATGAACCCATTCAAAAATAGCCATAGTTGTTAGTGAATTGCCAAAAATATTCCTGCAAAATGCTAATTCACACCCAAATGCAGTCGTAAAAAAGAACAGAATTTCAGATGTTAAAATAAGGACCTTCTGCCGATTTTGGCCAAAATTAAGGACTTTTAAGGACCAAAATTCGATTCCAAAAAAGTTAAGGACTTTTAAGGACTCTTAAGGACCGTACGAATCCTGCCAGATTATAAAAGTTGAATTATGAAATTAAATTATTTGGCATTATTTATGTTTCAATGTATTTCAAAATAAAAATTACATTTGCCTTGTTAAAGGTAAATTCTTTTGCGAAAATGGAAAATTTCAAATTGCAATTAAAATGACCCTAATCAGACCTGTGTAGATCCCATTCTGGTTAACTTATTTATAACTTTATTTTAATTAACTTATCTGGTTTAAGCTTGGGCTATATGTTACAAATTACATGGACCATGAGAAAAAGATAATTGTAACAAAAAAAAGTTCAAAAGTTCAGTCACTAGATGGCACTTTTCAACAAGTAGAAAGAATGTCAGACAAATTAGGAACTCTTTACAATGGCAGTAGACAAAGCCATAAAAATCATTCTTCGCCATGCCTTTGGAAGATCAAGCTTTACAAATCAAATTGTTTTATTAGAGCTGCAATATTAGATTGGCTTCAATATTACTGCAATATTAAGTTATTATTAAGTGAGAATATCAATGTTTGAAAGGTGTTTAAAAAAGGGCTTATGTGAAAGAATGGTTTGAAAAGATTATAATTAAATTCGAAGAAGGGTATACTGCCAGAAAGAGGATGAAAACAGATTCCAGATGAAACCAAGTTGCTGTTATCCTTGACAGTGTAATTTCATTTGCTTGCAAGCTTTTGGTAAAAACAACCACTGCCAATGCATGGCTTTGGAAGTTTTTGTTGTCAGACGAGATGCATTTTGCCCTAGATGGAGCAGCAAATAATTAGAATGTCATTCATAGGATAGTGCATGCGATAAAGTTGTTAATGAGCAGCCTCTGCATTCAGATTATGAGACTGTATGGTGTGTTTTTACTGCTGACTTCATTTTTAGATTCTTTTCCTTTGAAGAGAACACTCTTTAAAGCTATAAAGCAGCGGTCTCAAACTGGCAGCCCACAAGCTGATTGCAGCTCCCACATACATTTTTCTTAAATTAATCAGCATTATTATGAAAAGAATTTGAAGAAAAAGTTTAAGATTTTAATGGTTTCGAATCTAACTTCATAAATCATCTTCACAAATAAAAACCAACGTCAATAATGCTCTGGAAAATCCAGAAATGGAGCTAATTAATTTACACTGTGACATAAATCTTAGTCAAAGATATGAAGATACAAACTTGATTTTGTATTAGCCCTTGTTAAAAGATAAATATCCTCAGTTATGAATTTTGCAGTATGAATAATTGCTTTGTTTGGGAGTACAACAGTTTTTTTCCTGTAATTGAAAATATATGTCTATGACAAGAAACAGGCTGATGATGAGTATTTGCAAATTAGAATGAAGGCATTTTCTAGCAATTTTCTTCTAATGTTACAAACTTTATGGAAATCAAAAATGCCACAAGGTATTGTAACTGAAAAGTGTAGTAAGAAGCAAAGAAGTTTATATTTATTTGCATAAAAATATGTATTTTTCTGTACACTTCACAGAAAAATGTAAGATATAAAAGAAAGACAACAGGTTGTCACTATTTACTCTCAAAATTTATATCTTTGGGAAGTTTTTGTATACTTCTTTCTAGTTTAAATTAAAAGTTATTTAGTAGTTACTTCAGTATATTACAATTATTTGAATAAAGTCAATCTGAAAATTTTAATATTTAGCTGCCAATATGCGTAGATCACAAACTGTAATAAATAAAAAGTTCTGACAGATATCAATGTTTAGATTTCAGGCAGAAAATAAGTACATATTTGAATTTTTTTGTTGCATTTTTATATGTATGTTTTGACAAAAAGCCAGTTATTTTTATTTATTTTTTGAAATATAGTTAACATTTTTTTAAATAAAATATCAGTATAAATATCAGTTCACTTTTTACTAAAAATATCAGTTCAAATAGTTGCCGCCAAATATTAGAGCCCTGCATTATATTTAAAGAAATTAAATAATGAAGAATCTGTATGAATGAATATAGGTCTCGCACTGCAAAAAAACAACG